ATGTGCCACATGACAAAGAGGCATATTGAATTCCCCAACTGAAACACTGCTTAGCCTAACAATGATAGTCCACCGGAATACATATCAAAAGAGCTTTTTAACAACAAGATCAGTAAAACTTCAGATGGTTACACTGCAGACCAAGTAGTCTACAAGTGGTCATCAGGATCGCCAGATGCGCTTAAATTGCACAAAATCCGACTTCCAGACTTTACTATCAAGGAAGCATATGTTACAAATCAAATGGAAGCTTATGCGACAGGTACGGAGCAAACATCTCATTGTCAGTTTGCAGGCTTCTACTGCCTACCTATTCAGGAAACTATTCGCGATTATATGTTTGTTTCGTGTTCTCACGTTCGTCTGGATTTTGTTTTCTGCAACTAATCATTCCATCCACGGCCGTGGTCATAACCTCATGGGTGTCGCTTTGGATGGAAAGCGAAACGGAGTTCCAAGTAAGAAAAACAACCAGAGGAACTAGGATTATGGAAGAGTCTCTTTCCTAATTTTAAAATCTCATTCAGGACATGATCTCCATCATTCTCGCTATCACCTTTTTGATTTTTTCTTACAATGAAATGATGCCACGGGTCAGCTATATTAAGGCGATGGACATTTATCTAGGTTTGGAAAAAGCGGTGTATTCTTGATCTCAGTCAACTTATTCAGGAGTGTGTTTCATGATTGTATTCCTATCTCTGATAAAATTAGCATTTGTGAAGTACATGAGGCAGAAAATTAAGATTGAAAGGTACGAGCTTTGACACATCCATTTGGCTTTTTCTATAATGAAGCAAGTTTTAGCGAGAGCTTTCACTCCATGACCGCACTTGTGCCAACGCCACGACCATCCAATGGGGCAGTGGCACTACCTCCGCCAAGGGCTGGGACAAATTTAATCCTTCGCAACGGGAAGTAAGTATTACCTTAGGCATAGTTGATAGTGATCCGGAAGTTCCGGAACAGTCCCAACACTGTGCCGAAACAGTGCTGCATGTGCTGCAACTGCTCGCATGCGGTTGCCCCTTTCATGAAAAAGAGACTATATTTTGCAGAGGGGTTAGAGAATGAACGCAGTTCTGCTAT